AGTCTTTAAAGTCTTGACACAGTTTCTCAGAATATAGTCTTCAATGTCTTCAGAACTTGATCTTCATAATCTTGAGAGCTTGATAAACTTTCAGAGGCTCTTCTATCAGAGTCACAGTCAGAAGCTTTAGCACAAACTTTAATCAGAATCGTCGTTTAAGAGCTTTCCAAAACTTGACGTAATCTTGTAAAACCCACTTATACCTCTTTAGAGTTAAAGCGTGTTGAATCTAGAATATGATGACGTCACACGCTAAATCTTCAGAGTTAAAACCTGTTAGTAAAAACTACACACTAGACAAAACCATTAGGGTACAAAACTGTTCTATAAGAAACAATGTATTGTTATGATCAAAACTAAATGTCAGATCCAAAACCAAATCTTGTTCTTACGATCTCCCCTTTTTTGATGATGACAAAACCATGTATTTTGATAATCAAATTTTACTTGGTTAAATCATATAAAAACATCAGAGTGAGGTTTGTAAGCACTCCTTGAATTTTACACTATTAAAATTATTTTTCAACTTAAAATTTTGGAGTTAGATTTGCAAGCTCCCCTTGAATTTAAGACTTTTAAATAATCTTAATATATAAAATATCTCAATCAGCATGAAATAAATAACTTCCCAAAACGCAGAAACTTGGTTACAAAAGTAGAGGCTTGATTATATAAGTATTTCAAAATTGACTTTGTCTTGAGTATCAAAAGTGCTGGTTTATCAGCCTCGTATCAGAGCATGATTTGTTAGAACTTATATATGTCTCGTTAACATCCGAATTCTTAACACATATCATGGTTAATGCCTTCTGAAGAATTATTAACTTCTAAAAAACTTGGTTGACATGATGAACTTATTCAAAGTTTCCCAGATTAGTTAATCAGATTCAGAAAAAAAAAACTATTAAGGATAAATGTCTGGGTGTCAGAATGAAAATAGGTATATCAAAATCTTAACACTCTTCTTCCTCTTTGTCATTAATCAAAAAGATGAAATAGACAAAATAACACCAAACAGAAGTTTATTTCATTCAAGACTGCAAAGGTACATAAGCAGAAATGAAAATAAAAACTTAAAAACTAAGAAGACAACAAGCTTTAAAACAGGGTTTCTAAGAAGGTGGCATCCTTGAATGAATGATTTGAAGCATCTCTTCGATTTTGTTGTTTGTGCTAGCTTGAGCCTTGAATATCTCATCCTATTTGTCTAAAATTTAGTAATATCAAGGATTGTTGTATAAACTATTACTACTTCAAAAAAAAATTGATTATTTTAAAACTATTAGTAATAATTCATATTTTATTATATTTTCTTAAGCCCATAAGTTTGTTAGAGGGTGTCGCTACTCGAAAAATGCATCGCGCAACGACGGGGGGCGAAAAGAAAGGACAGAAGAGTCGCCACCGAACTTTATTTATCCCATGAGGGGAAAGGAAAATATCGAGAAAACCTTAAGAAAAGAACGGATAAGATGGTCTCGCAACCATGAACGGGTTCGGAAGCCGGTTATGCGAGGGGAAGGTATTAGCACCCCTCGCATCCATCGTACTCGATGGGAACCTTTTGTTTGTCGACGTGTGATTTTATTTGCTTAAACATTATGCTATAAGAAGTGTTCCACTGGGTAAAAGAAGGGTTATAAACAAGAAAGTTAGGAGGAAAGAGAGAACGGGGAAGAAGAGAGAAAGAACATACTCGGTAGGACTTCGCAGTCCTATGCCTACGTATTCTCAATAGGTATGAGAAAGTCAGAGTCGACGTAGTTCGGGGAACTACAGATATGGAGGGGATGTGCTCGCCAAGACATCGTCGTCTTGTGCCTACGTATTCTCATCTGGCATGAGAAATCAGAGCAGTCGTAGTTCGGCCTACGGTGTGTTGATGTTTTTTATGGATGATGCTATCGTGCGCATTCTAGCAGTTAGGTGTTTTGCTGCTCGCTCGTTGGAGACTTAGGCGTTACCTGTTTGCGGTAGAACGGACGTAACATATCCTTTTGAAAGATTGATTAGTTTTCGCCGCGCGGGGCAAGAAGTCACGTTTGATTGATTGGATTGTTTTTAGGGGGAGAGACATGTCCTCGGATAGTAACCCCTACGGGTAGTACCCAATTCTTCGTCTCAAAGTTTTTGTTATAAAAGGGTGTGGTGAACGAGGCGTCTTCGTATTGAAAGACGAGCGTCGAAATCACCCTCACTACAGTGGGCATCCCTATGCTCGGAGAAGAAGAGGTCTACACCTAATCCTCTCTCTTTAATTCAATACAAAGGGAACTTCGTTCTCTTATTAAAGATGTTTTTGGTTTTAAATGGTAAGTGCTTTGCGACAGAGAACCCTACGGTAAACGTCCGCACTCGGGATAGGAGAAGGCCTACGCCTAACCACTCCACGACCATTCAAGTTTTTGTTGTGAAAAGATTTGAAAATGCACTCGGTACGGGACTGAGGTTTTAGGTGTGAAAATTGTGGAAGGAAGTTGTGAAAGCGAGATGGTGGATAAAGTCGCGTCTTCGTATTGAAAGACGAATATCAAGACCACCCTCACTACAGTGGGCATCCCAGCATTCGGAGAGGAAGAGGTCCACACCTAATCCTCTCTTTTTAATTCAATACAAAGAGAAATTAGTTTATTATTGAAAGTGTGCTCGGTACGGGACCGAGGTTTTTTAGGAGAGAAAAGTTTAGAATCGTCTTCGTATTGAAAGACGAGTGTCGAGATCACCCTCACTACAGTGGGCATCCCATCACTCGGAGAAGAAGAGGTCTACACCCAATCTTCTCTCTTTAATTCGATACAAAGAGAAATTTAATTTTGAAAATTGTTTGACAAAGTTTTGAATCGAGTTGGGACGAGAAGCAAGGAGAGAAAAGAGGTGGTCTCAGATCCGACGATACCTATCAATATATTGATTTAGTAATCGATTTATGGAACTTTCGTCATCGACCCAAAACGGCGAAAAATGTCCAATAACAAATGAATAAATGAAATTAACTTCTAAAAGAAAATAATCTCAAAACTCTAATATGAAATAATTTTAAAGCTCTAAAAAAAAAAATAAAAAAAATAAATATAAAATGAAACTTAGAAAGTAACATATATATATATAATGATAATAATAATAATAATAATAATAATAATAATAATAATAATAATAATAATAATATATACAACAAAACCAGAATTAATATTCATAAAATAAATAAATGAAAAATAAGAAAAGAAAAAACAGGGAAAGGAAATTGGGGACGGATCTAACACCACAACATCAACGATACCTGAGTTTTGAAAGTAGTTGTCGAAATATCAAGAGTAACAAACATGAATCTCTCTTCCTCGTATGATTCGACAAAATTCTAGGTTTGTTCTTGGTTCAATCGCCGATTCATTCAATCCCTATCCCTTCGTCTCTATCTCTCTCTAATTTTGTGACTTTAATTAGGTTTTGGATTGGGGTTCGACTTGGTTGAAGGTCGAAGGGGGCGGAAGCGGTTATATGGTTTTGTTTGAGCAGTGGAAGAAGTGAAATGGAAGGGGAGCACGCAGAGGAGAAGAGGAAAACGGTGACGGTTGGAGGAACAGGGGCTTGGGATTTGGAAGTTGGATTTATGGTGAGTTTCCAGAAATGGATTTTAAAGGTTAAATGTTTGGGGTTTTTGTTTCACGGCTTGGATTTGTGGAAGATGAAGAATTTCTGGTGAAGGTTGAAGCTGGGAATCGCGGCGAGATGCGTTTCTGGGTTTATTTTGTGTAAGGGTTTGAAGAGATGGTTGAAGAATGAAGGTGAGAGTGGCGTTTTCATGTGTTTGAAGGTGAATCTGGGCTGTTCGAAGGTTCGGGGTTGTTTGATGTTTGAAAGTTTGAATGAATTTGAAAGATGAAGTTTGAATGATGGAGGTTTTGCGGTGTTTCAAGTTCGAAAAGATTGAAGCTGTGAGATTTCTATGGTGGTTGTAATGGAGTTCCAAGGTGGTTGTCGAAGTAGTTTCTCCAATGGGTTTTGTTGTTTATGGATTTTCTGGAAATAGGTTTCCAGATTTGGATGGATTGATAAGGTTTGATGTTGGTGCTCACGATGAAGGTTTGAGAAGGCTGATAACAGTGAAGAACATGGTTTGTTGGGATTAATCAATGAAGAAGAAGGTTGTTTCCATGGTGTTGGATGGTTGTTCTGAAGTGGTTTAATTTGTTTGAAGAAGGATGTTTTATTGACAGAGTGGAGAAGATGATGTGGTTTTCAAAGAAAAGGGTTGTTTTTTTTTCTTTTGTGATGAAGTTTTTTTTGTGTTGTTGTTTGAAGAGGTTTGAACAAGTTTTTGAATCCCCCCCCAGAGGTTGGTTGTCTGGCGTGGCTTTGAAGTAGTGGCAGGTTCTGTACCATTTTGGTTTGTGGTAGCAGAATAATGTAGAGTTTGGTCTGGTGTGAGTTTTTTGTGCAGTAGTAGCAGAGTTGTAGTATGGTGCTGCACGGTACGGTTGTGCAGAAGTTGTCTGGTGTGTTGAAGAGGTTGTCTACTTTTACAACATACATTTCTGAATGTCCACCAGAAAAATTGCCACCATGTGAGGATGCAGTACCTTCATCTTGATTAATGTAACAGTCCAGACCTTAATAGTATTATCATAGCTACATGAAAATAAGATATCCTCTGTTGGGTGCCACCTAACCATTTTCACATCCTGAGTATGACCTTGCAGCACTGAGACACACTCAAACTCATTGCCTGGCTGCACTCCCCATATCCAAACAGACTTATCTCTACTACAAGTTGCAAGTAAAGTTCCAGATGCATTCCAAGATACACTCTTTACTTCATTTTCATGTCCCTCCAAAGTAGAGACACATTCAAAATCACCCCCAACATTTTCCCATATGGCAGTGGTGGCATCAAAACTTGCAGTGGCTAACAACTTCTCAGCCGGCGACCAAGCACAAGTGCAATCTGTGATTTTGTTCACAACTTCTTTGTCTGCGAGGAATGCCGACAACATTTTTACAAGATGTGTTCAAGTGTTTCCAGTCCTTTCAACAAAGCCCGCGACTTTGCACTCTGGTTGTGGAGTTCCCATAACAAGGTAAACGAAAGGCTGAGGAAAGAAGAAGCTTCTATAGGTACCGGTGATCCCAAATTCCCAAAGACAGTTTGGCCTCCAAAGCAGCTTTGCTCTTCCTGTTACCTTGACTATGACCAAACAAGCAACAAAATTGAATGGAACCAGGATGAAGTCTACAGGACTCTGAGAAATTATTACGGGAAAACACTCGTGTCTCTGTACAAAGAGAATGGTATTGCTGGAACTGAAGGAGCTGAAGGAGCCACCCTAGAAGATTTAACAGTCGGGACGAATGCAGTTGTGGTGCCGGTTGGAGCTGCTTTGGCAATTGTTGTTGCTAGCTGTGCCTTTGGAGCACTCGCATGCTACTGGCGTTCACAACAAAAGAGTCGGAAGTATTTCCATCACCTACACTCTTTAAAGAACATATGATTATTAGGAGGGCCAAGGAGAACATGGAATTAGGAATAGCAGACAACTTATCACAGAGCTTAGTATTTATCTTTTCTGCACAATCCACCCTTGTCAATAATATGATTCCAGGATGCACTGCATCAGGTCCATTAAATAACCTTGCAACCTTTTCGTATTGAGGCTTATAATTCCTGCAAGCAGGACACCAATGTGCAAAGAATTCAACAATAGCAAACGTAGCAGGAGTATCCTTCAAAACAGGTACCAATGTGCAAAGAATTCACCAATGTTGCAGCTGGTTTTCACATGTACAAGTTTGATGGATAGTGGAAGATAGGGCAACAAGTTCTGTACTATGGTTGTGTATTGGTTGTTTTCAATTTCAAACTGAGGCACAACTTATTTTGTCGTTTTGCAGGTACGATTCTGGAGGTGTTGTCGGTTTGTTACTGTTTTTATGTGGGAATTTGTTGCAGATTCGTACGAGGCTTGTAAGTTGTCGCAGGTATTGTCGGCAGCAGAATTTTGTCTCGGTGTGAAGGTAGTGGCATAACCTGTGTGGAGGCTAGCTATCAACACTTTTCAGATGATGTTTTGTACAAGTTGCAACCTAAGAATTGATTCCAGCAAATTCAAACCCAGCGGTTTTGAATGAGTTTGAACATAATTTCTCATAAGTGTCTAACAAAACTCTGGTGATCGAGAAATCCCTCGTTAACAGGTTGAAATCTTCAACAAATATCATTGCTACAACGGATCTCCTCTCAAGACATGCCGCCGACTCTACAAACCGATCGAGTATCTGCACGAAGCATTTAGGCATATGATTGTCCACATTCAGTCGGATGGCATGGAAGCAACCGAGACTCTTCCTTTTCTTGAAACACCTCAGTATACAATGAGCATTCTTTCTCAGCAGCTATGTGAGTTTCGAGGGCATGCTGCAATTTCAAATCTAAAGCACCGAGAAAAGCATCGGCTTGTCTCAATGAAGTTGCAAAGAGAATTTCTCCTTCTCGGCGGCAGAAAGGTATTCACTAACCTTTTCTGCTGTTTCAAAATCTTCAACTTCACAGGCTTCTTCCAATTGATTTTCAAGTCCTGGCTCATGCTGATGTTTTGTTCTATTTTTCTGTTGCAGGATGCGGAATGGTTCGGGAGATTCACTACATAGCCAAGGCTTGTGTAGCATGAGAACATGTGGTGGTAGTGTACTGGCTCGGTATGGAGTTTGCACCAAAGCTTCAGCCATGTTAAGTCCTGCTGATGTACTTGAACCTACAGACCCAGAGATTGGAGTAACAGTTTGTTGTGCTGTTTGAGATCTCCTCACCTTGACTAGAAACTTGGCTCTTGCTTTCTTCCTTTACCGACGCTTTGGATGGCTGCGTATTGCTAGAATTTGTGGGTCATATGAAAAATGATTAGGAAATTAAATTATGATGTAACTTTCATGTATTTTTCTCTTGTAAAGATGGGCTTTGAACTTTGAATTTTCACATCCACTTTGTTATTTGAATCATGCTTTAAATTAATGAAAAATCCTTGAACTGTTGATCATTGACTTGAAGTTTCCATGTCATTCCAAAATCTTCATTAATCAACCCACACCCTTCTCGAGTTCTTCATTGAATGAAGCTTTGAAATAACCCACAAATCAATCTTTGAGAAATAAATATTCAAACTCGAATCGACCTTTAGCTTTGAATGTATTATTGAATCAACATGAATTCATCCCAACTTTTCACTTTGAGTCATGACGGGCCAAAAACATCACCCTGAGCTTTATTGAACAATATCCTAATATATGATGGATCATGTCAGTCTTTGATCATGAAACAACTGAATTAAATACCTCTTGAAAACTTGACTCCTTCATAGACACCTTGAGCAAATAGACCTTCAAACGAAGACTCAAACCATATTGCCTAAACAAGACTTGCCTAACCAAGGTTATATTAGAGGCAAATGCACGCACTCAAACCTCAGATGAACCTCAATTTATTCTTGTAACAATTTTGACCCATAAACCAAGGAATCGTGGGACAAAATGATTTAAATCTTCAATCCCTCGAACAGGAGTTGGTGGATAGATGCACAGATGAAAACAATATACTATGTAGGAGAAATTGGGGTATGCTTATGCAATGTGATATGCTAATGCAATGAAATAAAACTCAAGCCAGAGAAGTTGGTCAAATTTTGGGGTACAACAGCTGCCCCTATTCAAGCGACTTAGACCTGAATGTATGAAAAGCGAACAGCTTTCAGATGATCATGGTAAAAGGCGGTTGAATACCCAAGGACCCAGAAATTTGACAACCGTGATACGAACTTCTGACATCGCCGCCAGGTACCCATATTAAGTAGAACGTCTGACCTCGCCGTCAGTCATAAATCAAGTAAACATCTGACCTCGCCGTCAATTCTCACATAACCTGACATCGCCGTCATCTCTTAAAACAATCTTCTGACTTCGCCGTCATTTCCAACAATTTTGACTTCGCCGTCAATTCTTAAAATAATCGGTAAAAGCATCTGACCTCACGGTCAGGCCTCGACATTAAGTCGGTAAAAAGATCTAACCTCGCCGTCAGTCCTCTGTTAAATACAAACAGATATTGAATCCAAAGATACGATCCTCCGACACCGCCATCAAGACAAAATCCAACATCGCCATTGGAAGAACCAAATTACCCGACATCGCCGCCAAGAACAAACATCTAGCATCGCTGCTAAAGAATCAAACCGCTCGACTTCGCCGCCGAAAATAAACACCCAACCTCGCCGCTGAATAAACAAATTATCTGACATCGCCGTCAAAAACAAACATCCAACCTCGCCGCCGAATAAACAAATTACTTCGACATCGCCGCCAGAAACAAAACATCCAACCTCGCCGCTGAATAAACAAATTACTCCGACATCGCCGCCAGAAACAAAACATCCAACCTCGCCGCTGAATAAACAAATTACTCCGTCATCGCCGCCAGAACAGACTTCTCAACATCGCCGTTGAAGAATACTAAATCATCTAACATCGTCGTTAGAACGAACTTCTCAACATCACCGTTGAAGAATATAAATACTTGACATCGCCGTCAAAACAGACCTCTCAACATCGCCGTTGAAAACCAAATCACTTGACATCGCCGTCAAGACCAACATTCAACCTCGCCGCTGAACAAACAAATTACTTTTGACATTGCCGTCAAAACCAACATTCAACCTCGCCGCTGAACAAACAAATTACTTTTGACATCGCCGTCAAAACCAACTTCTCAACATCGCCGTTGAAGAAACAACTCATCTGACCTCGCCGTCAAAACAAACTTCTCAACATCGTCGTTGAAGAAACAAATCACTTGACCTCGCTGTCAAACCAAACTTCTCAACATCGCCGTTGAAGAAACAAATCACTTGACCTCGCCGTCAAAACAAACTTCTCAACATCGCCGTTGAAACACTAAATCACTTGACATCGCCGTCATAACAAACTTCTCAACATCGCCGTTGAAGAAACAAATTACTTGACCTCGCCGTCAAACCTTCGCTAAATATAAGCGAGCAACAAGATTTGAACGAAATTAAGACCATCCATTGGTGATAATCACAAAATAACTCCGCTGGGGAAACACCATGAGCTGGGGTCTAGCCAACACACGGGCAAAGATACTAATCATCTGCGAGATTCACTTGAAACAAAAGGGTAACGACCTGGCTTATGTCTCGCATGCATATGTTTGGATATGACGAAATGCTCCATACGAAATGGAAATGCTTCGCATTTGGGTAGATGTTATGCATGTATGTAAATGCAAATGAACCACTTTAGCAAAATAAATGCTAAAGAGAAAGAGAGCCAACTCCGCTAGGGAAAGACTAGATACGCCTAGCGCAAACAAACTCATGTTGGGGAACACAAGCCCTGGATGGCCTCTGATAAACTTCTGGGTAAAAACTGCTCTGCTAAGATCAAAACTACTCCGTTGGGGATCCTAATCAAACTCTGTTGCGGAGCACGTCCCGGATGACCTATCAGCCTACAACTCTTCTGGGGATCAAGCAACTTGGCTGGAGGCGACAACTCCACTTTACCGGGGAAATCAGCTATGAATGATTAGCCAGAATAGCTCTACTGGGGAAACATCAGCAGATTGCTGAGGAATAGCTCCATTCTGTCGGAGATTGAATCCGCTATCTGCTAGGGATGTTGAATAAGATTTACTGGAAGGGTTATCCCACACTCTCTCTGCTGGGGATGGAGATGAACGATCTCTGAGTCAGTTCCACTCTGTGGGGAAGGAAAATTAACTCCGCTGACTTGGCTGGGGATTAGATAAAGGAGGGAATCAACATCAATCTCTGCTTGGGGAAAGTGAGAAGTAAACTTCAACAATACTTCCGTTTGAGGAATGAGTCAATGACCTAGACTCTGAGGGGATAGAAGTCAACCATTTAGACTCTGTGGGGATAACAGTATGGCGCTCGCCCTACTGCTGGGAAAATAAACCCAAATCTGCTTCTATAACTCTGATAAGCTCTGAAGATATGGAGAGGAACGCATCTCCGTTGTTTACGATTTTGCCCCAGCCTGTGGGACTTTTGTAAAAAAACTTCCTCGAAAGGAAACCTGAAATTTCGGTACCCTGATGGTTAGATATGAACTGTCCCAGCGCTTCGAACCCCGAAGAAGTGCTTTCAAGTTGATTTCCTTTCTGGACAAGGATAGTCTTTGTGCTCTCCGGGTGACCTGCCCCAGCTTTGAAGTGATTTGCCCCTGATTGGCTGATTTGTAGAGAAGTGCCCCTGGCTTCGAGAGATTTACCTAATCTCGACCTGATTGTCCCAGATTAACGGACCTTAGGGAATGGCGCCTTCGACTGGCCTTCGAGTGGTTTGAGATTGCCCCAGATTAACTGCATCTAGGGATGACCGACTCTGCTTACGTTTACCTGATGTGACTTGCCCCTGCTCAAAGGAGTACTCGGGCGCTTTATATCTTATTTCTATCAAAC